ATTTTTTCCCCTGAAAACCACAATGTAGGAAATGTCACCTGCACATTTGTATCTTGCCCTGTGTGGACTTAGAACATGGCCCAGTCACACTCAAGCTTGATGGCACCCTTGCTCCAGCATTTAGGGTCATATGCTGATGTCCACTTGTGTTTTAATTTGTAGAGCTCTCTCTCTTTCCATTCAATCTGAATTTACAGACCTAATTTTCATAAATATATATATATGCACACAAATACACACACACCTATCCTTTGGACCCAGTATATTTAAAAGGTGATCCATTAAAAGCCAGTATGGATATTTCCATTACCTCTTCCTGAGGGTAGTACTTACTGAGGGTACAAACTGAGGGTAGTACTTATTGTTCTGTGAACTCTTTGGTGGTTTGAGACTGCCAGGGTCAGTAAGATCTCTAAAGACAGGAAAATCCACAGCAGTTCAGGTCTCACCTTATTTCTCTTAAATGTGCTGATATTGACAGTAATCCTGCTGGGCTGCCTTATCTTTTGGTCTGGATTCCTTGTGGATTTGATGAACTAGATCTAGGAGTTCTTGTGGTGTCTTGAGTTAGAAAGGGATAATGCTCTTTGCTGAAAATATGGCTGTTCTGTTTGGTATTTGTGTTTCCATTTATAACTTTCCTATTTCCACTTTTTTTTTAATCTTTTCTTTCCCACTTGTGAAATTGTTCTCTGAATGCTTTAGGAGTTCAGGTGGTATTGCGGGAATAATGCCATGTCTGACATCAGTGAAAAGAGGCACTCTGGAGAAAGGCCTGTCAAAGAGGAAACTTTATTCTAGGTAGCTGAGCTATGAATGTGGTGGGGAATATGGTGGGGACTCCTGGGGAGCCTGGCTTCCCTAGGCAATTTCTTAGGACCTTAAGTGTCTTAGGACCTCTCCTACTTCCAGGTACAACAAACTCATTGGACACATGAACATTTCCTTAATCAGCTTATACTGCTGGAATGTGCTAATTTGGATCTTCTTGCATGAAAAGGCTCTAAGACTAATAATTGTGTTGCAGACAAACCTAACCAGAGTCTGTTAGGGTCAAGCTGACATCTAAGCAAGCACTGGAGTCTGCTCCAAGTGAGGAGAGGTTAAGAAAACCTGGATTCCACCAGTGGGACTGAATTCAAAATTAATACATTTTGAACAGCAGAATCTTGGCCAGGGATTAAAAGCAGTGATGTCTCTGAAGGAGGTTAAAGCAGCTGTCTTCTGGGTATTTCATGTTTGGTTTAGCCTTGGAGAGCTCCAGGTTCACTTGTCTTCAGTTTGCTCCTTTCAGTACTTGAGCTCCCCTGCAACACCGTTTCCTGTTTGATTTCTAAGGAGCATTACTATTGTAATAGTAATGGCATGAGACTAACCTACCTTCTTTGACCTGACAGGGAGTCTTCTTGTTTGCACTTGACTAACACTGTCAGTCAGAAGTCACCGAGTCATGTTACTATACTATTTTCCTGGAGCTGACTGACCTTTCCTAATTATTGTAATGTTTCATTTCTTTTCTATTTTCATTATGGTTCATAATTGATTCTGGGTGCATGTATGTATATATCTTGCAAAGACTTGTACAATTATTTGGATTGCAAGGGACCTTGAAAGTCATTTAGTTCCAAACCCCAAATACCTCCCTCCCCCACACACCCTGCCATGGGCAGGAACACTATATATAGGTATATCTTTAGTCTGGTAGTTTGAATCCACTGTGCAGAGAATCACCTGTTTTGTAAGCAGCTGTTTTGTTTTATTTCTTCTAGACATTCTGTACTCATAAATCTGAACTTGCAGTTTCAGACAGCCCTGGAATATCATGCTTAAGCTCTTGGGTTAATGAATAAAATGCAGCTCCTTTGCTGCTTGGTAAAATATTTTAGATATGGTCTTTTCTGGTCCTGTCAATACCTATGAGCATGCCCTAGAGCTTGACTGCCAAGTGGCACACAGCGTTGGGTGGTTTTAGTGTGCCAGTTCACATTTGGGTTTGATTTCCTGTCTTTCAAGTGTTTCAGGTAAACCACAATTGTCTGGACTGGAAAGTTAACAGAAGGCACCTAACTCCTGAAAATCAGTATAAGGTGCCACAGTCATTTTCAGAAACATTAATGGCATGCTAATAGTTGTCTTAGGTCGTAATCATGTTAGTCAGGGCAATTGGATGTGGTAACACCCTGAATCTGTCAAAACAGACATAGCAGCTGACAGTTTGCAGAAATCAATCACTTGCTCTCTCTGCTGAAGTGATGTGTGAAGTGTGTATCGTAATAAAAGTAGGCTTGAATGCCTCAATTAATATGTGACCATGCCACAATTTAAAATGCACATACTTTCATTTCCTAATTAATAAATACTTAGGCTAATGAAATGACAGTGGCAATTTTAATCCCCCATATATAAGAATCTCTGACTCAGTGCCAGAGGAGAATATAGTAGTGGCAAAAATAATTAGGCATTTCTGTAGCATGCTTTTACATTGGATCTGAAATCCTTTGGAGGCAAGCTGCTATCTCCATGATCATTGTGCAATGGGCTCCAGGAAAACCCTGAAGCAGGGAGGTTGGACCAGGTCACCCCACCGGTGGTCCCTCCCAACTCTAACACTTGTGTGATTGTATCGTTTTCTTCCAGTAGATAAGGAAAGAAAATTACAGATGAGGGAATTGGCAAGGTGAAGTACAGCTATAGTAGCAGACTCCTTAGTAAAGGTTGTGGAGGAGTCGACTATAAGTAACTGTGGGTGTTGTGGCCTCTTTCAAATCAGTATAAAGTTTACATTGAAGTCGTTCCTCACTACATTTTGAAAGATTTGCAAAAAGGACCACAAAATGAATGCTTATCAAAATGGTGGGGGGTGGGCATCTGACTATAAGGGGAACTGCAAACAGAAACAGAAGGGATCTGACTTTTGTTTTACTGCTCTAGCTGTTGTTCCACTGAGACACAGAAATCAGACACTGGGCCTGATGAAAGTGTAAGTGAAGGGGGGTAGTGAGCTTCCTGTGCCAAAAATGAGCATGCATTGAAAAGGCTGAATATGAGTTAGGAAAATCAAAACAGTGTAATTATACACAGACAGTGCTGTCAGTAACACAGAAGAGTTTAAGAAAAGAAAAGGCAAAGATTGTTTCGTGAGGAAGCACCACTGTCACATTAACTTGGGGAAGAATTTGGCTCATGGTATTTAATGTCACATCACTCATTTAAAGCCCTAAAAATAGTGTTTATAATAAAACCCCTGACACAGCCATGACTGGTGTGATTCAGATGGCCCCTTTCCTTTTTTAATTTGTGAACAAAGCTGCTCCTTTGAAGAGAAGTGTTTGTTTACAGTTGTTTATCAGTGCAGGAAATGGATCAATTAGATGTAACTTTCTAAGTTAATTGAGTGCCACTACTGAAACCACCTGACGTCATGCTGGTGCCAGCAATGCCAGCTGAGAAATCTCATCGTTGTTGCTGTGGGAAAGACAAGGACATGATGGGAAATGTTATTTTTGGCCCTCAAAAGATTAAAAATTTTAAATATTTATAGAGTCTTATCTAAAATACTGATTGGCTATTAGTGCCTTGAATTGAGGCAGGGATGTGTGAATCCCTAGAGCTTTATGACCATACCCCATCTGAATTAATCTGAACCATTAACAGGGAATTGGCACTCTGAATTTTCCTCTAGCTATAATATCCTCCTTTCCACACTGCACTGCCTTTATTTTTTCCTCTTGGATTGTTTTGTTAATGATCTAGAATGTAATACCAGCACACAAAAAAATAGCTTTCAGATTCATCCCTCTTTGAAATATTTGGCTTCAGAGCTATATTTATATCTTTTTTTTTTTCTGTTTTTTTTTTCTGTTGGATTTTTTTCCCCACTGCACAAGCTTATAATCCTTTTTGCCTGTGCAAAAGCAGAATGACTTCATTAGCATGGGGCTACCTTGTCACTGTACTGAGTTTTTCAATCTTATTCAACAATTCTTCCCTACTGACTTAAGGGAGTTTTGGGAGGGAGAGGGAGGAGGCTTAACGTAAATATTCTGGGTTATTTTTATCTGGCAAATTCATGTGCTGTTTTGAGACTGGAGAAGCTATTGGATGCATATGTTAGTGTTGCAAACCGGTATTTTTCCTGTCAGTTGCAGAATAGCTCTGGCTTATGACAACTGTAATGAGGTCTTTGATAATGCTTCTGTGGCCTGTAGCAAATGGGCTTATTGTGGGAGCCAGGAACCCTTTCAGAAAGCCCCAGTTTCAGAGCTGAGAGAGAAACAGGAGAGCACAACCTTTAAATCTTCTCTCTCATCTAATCTTGAATCTTGCAGAAGAACCACTTGAGGCTACCAGCGAGGTTGAAACTACTCAGTGTGGCTAATGTTTATCAGCTAATATTAAAAAAAAAAATAAACCAAACCCTCTTTTCCTCTGATACGATTTTGATGTTGCTGTCAGGCTTGTGGTAAAAGAATGAATGAAATTGGGATGTACTTTAAGGGCAGAGCACACAAGAAAAATCTGCAGATCAGTTACCTTAAAAACGTCTCCAATTCAATAGGGTTGTGAGCCTAAGGCAAGCTTAATTAAACTTAAAGGAAAGCAAAAAAAAATTTTAAATGCTGGTTTGGTTCTCATAAACCTGAGTAAGCTGAAGTCTGGATTACTCAATTATGTATGGTTGTGAGATTTGTTTTGCGAGCATTTTCCTGCACAGTGCAAATTCTCAGCATCCTTCTCTTCCACTGTGCATGTGTGTCAGTCTCAGAAGAAGGAGAGGAAGGAACTTAAGGGTATGATTTGGGGGCTTAGAATGTCCTCCACATCTCCCTTTTTCCTCTCAGGCCACCTGCAGACATGCTGGAAAGTACTTGTAGGGAGAAGGAGTATATACCTGAGACTCTATCTGTGCAGCTGTGTTCCATGCCTGTGCCTTGGAAAAGAAGAGTTCCCTAGAAGGGATTGCAAAGCCCCACTTTGCAGTGAAGTTTAAAAGTAAGACACAAGCTGGCTACAATGTGTGGGTTTGTGGGCTCAAAGCTTGTCGCTTTCGAAGGAGCTGAACCCTAGAGCCTGGCACTGTGGTATTGATTTTCCTCTGTTAAAAATATTCTTTAAGGAGCTCTGTGGAATATGTCTTCACTGAGATATCTTTCTTCCTTTCCCTTTTTGATTGAAATATGCATGGCTTTATTATCAGTTTAGTTTGCTTGTCTGTTAAGCCAAACTAAAAGCTTTGAAGAGCTTCTGTAATGGATTTAAGTATCACTGAACCAGCTGGCTGCTTTTCCTTGCTGTGAGAGGAATTAGTCAAATTCCAGCTCCTGTGTGCACAGGTCCTTAGTTTCTGGAGCGCTCAGTGTCTCCTTTATCTCCTTTATGCAGCCCCCAGCTGATGCAGTCTAAATAATGCATATTTTGTGCCAGTACAGGTTTCTTACTGTCTTGGCTATGACAATGCCCAGTGGCAGATGATTAGAAATAGTATAAGAATTGGACGGGATGTAATGGTGCTTCTGTGGTGTAGTATACTACCGCTAAGCAGGTCAGGAATTTCAACATTCAGGAGTAATACCTTTGGTTTTACGTAGTGTGATCACTCTCTGGTCCACAGCAACATCCCTGAATCATATGCTATATTTGAGAAAGCATATTACCTCCATATGGTTTTGAACCTACCACTGACTGTCTGCTCTAGTGTTCCAAGTTCCTGTACTGGAAGAAGAAAGGATGATTATTCTTTTTACCTACTTTCCACCATTCTTGCCTTTACAGGCCTTTATGTAGTCTTTTTGTCTCTCTCTCTCTGCCCACTCTTCAATGAAAGTCATTGCACTAGTCATTACTCACAGTGAAGCCATGCCATACTGTTGTCATTTCTGTTGCCTTTCCTCTCAACCTTTCCTAATTCTGTGATGGCCTTGTTGGAATGAAGACAGCACCTAGATGAAGCACAACTGGTTGGTTGGGATTTTTTATAACACAAAATATTGATGCTTCTTCAATCCCAATTCTAGCAAGTTCTAACACTGCATTTGCTTTTCTAGATGCTTGGACAACAGGATTGCATTCTTAGGCCTTCAGCTGACTGTTACTAATACAATTTCCCACCATGTCTATCACTTTTTACTGAAACACATTCAATTTCTTTTTTTTTTTTTTTTGCAAAAAATTGCAGTCTGCACAGAGCCACTTGCTCCCTCTCCCACCAGCTGTATCAGGGAAAAAAATTAGAAGGGTAAAAGATGGAAAACTCATGGGTTGAGATAAAGACAGGTTAATAGGGTAAGCAAAAGCTGCACACACAAGAAGTAAAACCAGGAATTAATTCACTGCTTCCCATGGGCAGGCAGGTGTTCAGCCATCTCCAGGAGAGCAGAGCCCTATCAGGTGTGTTAGTTACTCCGGAAGACAAACATCACCACTTCAGAAGTCCCCCTCTTCCTCCTTTTTCCTCATTTATATACTGAGCATGATGTCAGATGGTCTGGAATATCTCTTTGGTCCATTGGGGTCACCTAGCTGTGTTTCCTCCCAACCTCCCATGCATCCCCAGCCCCCCTCTCCAGCAGGGCAGTATGGAAATCAGAAAAGGCCTTGGCTCTTTGTAAGCCCTGCTCAGCCATAACAGAAACATCTCTATATTATCAACCCTGTGTTCAGCACAAATCCAAAACACAGCCTTATTCCAGCCACTGTGAACAAAATTAACTCTACCCCAGCAAAAGCCAGTGCACTACAATCTGAGAAATAAAGTTTTCTGCCACACAGATATGGTGTAGAGCTCAAGTTAGTAAGCAGCATAGTTCTTGCTGGAGAGCCCTGAATAGAAAGAAACAGGGAAATGCAAAGTATTTAAAATATTTAATCTGACTCTACTTGAGCATTAGTGTGACTCCAAAGTCACTTAAGTGTTCTTGAAAAATACCATAATCATTAGTAAGCAGCTTGCAGTGTGATTGCTGGTCAGATGTGTACCCAGGTAGGAGGGGGAGGTACCCACCATGGGCCAAGGTAACCTCCAAAGTCCCTAAAGGGGGTAAACAATGGTTTAAATGTAAAGATTTCTGGCAAGCTTTAAAAAAATATGCTAGTTGTCTATTACTCCAAGGCTTAAAGACTTTGGGATTTGTTTCCAGTGTCACAGCTTTGGAAAATCTCGATGCTTTGACTATTTAACACAAATTCTAAAATTACTGATCTTCATCTACTATACCTTGCAGGCTTTAAGCAGATTATAAACCCAGCTTTTTTAGTAGTCAGGCAGAGACTATTTCAAAACTGTTCCTGATTATATGGGGCTGACACGATTTTAAAGAGTAGCCATATGGGAGTGTTTCTTTTAAAACCACACACAACATGGCATTGTAGGATTTTTGCACAGAGAAGGAAATAAACTAGGTCAGCATAGGTCAAACTTCAGTCTTCCAGTGAGAAAAGCATCTATTTAAAGTGGAAGATGAGAAATGATATAGTAACTGTTACCCTGAAGTGAAAAATGGTGCTGTTTATGTATTTAATTGGTCAGGGTTTGCAGTGGGGCTTTGAATTCCGCTGCTGTCGGATCTTGTATTGCTGCTGTCAATCACGGGTTTTCTCTTCCTTAAAAGACTCACGGTAAATTTATTTTGGATGGTTTCTGAACAGGTGTTTCCTCAGTGGTCCGAAGGCTTTAAATGAGAGCTGTGCTGCATGTGCGGAGGCCTCAGCTGCAATCACACCCGGCCTGACACGGCGCTGCTGTGTTTACCCATCTGTGGCCACGCTGCCAGTGGGCCCTGGCGGGTCCCGCGGCCGCCGCGCCGCAGAACAGATGTCGGGGATTAGGGGGAAGGATCTGGGGAGGCTCTGGGGCTGTGCGCTGGCGGAAATCATTCATTGTGGAGACACGGACAGGGCTGCTGGGCCTGCGATGAGGAGTCGCCCAAAACGGGCCTTGGTGGTTTTGTGCATCTGAATCAAAACCAAATGTTTTCCTGGTACCTTTTAATTAAAGGGAAAGCGTAATTTAGTACAATAAAATAAAGTTAGTGCACCAAGTGGTATTTTATTTCTGCAGTGTTCTTCCCAGCAAAGAAGCTGGCGATGTGGTGCTCTGAAAGTCATGCTGCCTTGCACGCTGTGGGTGGAAAGGCTGCCTGGTCTGTCCTGCTGGGAAGGGCTGTGAGGCAGGAGGTGGCTGTGCCTGACCTGGGGCCAGGCAGCCAGCGGAGCCTCTGTGCCGTGGACTGGCACTCATGGCCAATTTGTCATTTTGTCAGTGTTTTATGCTTTAGAGAATGTTTCCTGTGGGACTGCTTGACTTCAGCTCTTGGGTTTATTGATGGCCCTTGTTCTGTGCTTGGCAATCAACCATATGTGGAAACATAGGAGTAGCACAAGGTGACCAAGACTGAGTGGTGCATTGCACTATGTGTCCCCTACAGACAAATACTACAGCACGTTACTGAGAGGCTTGTCAGGCATCTTGCTGAGCTGGAAGCTAATGTTTGGCAGCAATTTACTAAGTTATGGAATCAGAGCAGGCGCCTGTAGCTGTGATTTTTGATATGGAAAAAATATTATATAAATTGTTACTATATTATGATGCTGTTGTAAAGATTTCAGTAAAGGGTGAAAGGAAGGGAGAAAATTAGAGGTACGGGGTCAATCTCTAGGCTTTGGCAAGAGAGAGCAGTGGGAGTCACTACAGATGTACTTCATATGTGACGATACAAGGCACAGAAACATGGTGGCTCTGTGAAAAAGTTGTATGTGCTCAAGCAATGATATAAATTACTCTGGGAATGAAAACAAAGGAAAGGAGCACGGTTTTATAGGAAAAAACTATTTATTTGTGTAAGGCTCCATGGATCTGAGTTGAATTGCAGTCATGCTAAAATAACCCAAAGCCTTTTAGGGCCTCCAGGAGAGGCAGTATGACAGTAAAGAAAACTTTGAGCTAACTGCATTCAGCATATGCTTTAAGAATGTAACCATTGATTGAAGATAAAATTCATGTGAATATGTAGAGCTAGGAAATTACTCTTCCTGGAGAAATAAAATTTGGGGAAGTAAGGGCTGTTATCTGATGCAAGCCAACCGCTGCTGTTACAGATTAAGATCTCTAAAGCTGAGTTTGAAGGACACAGTTTTCCAGAATGTAGAACTCCCTCTATGGAAGTGGTGTACTTTCAGCTGCTGTTGACTTTGGTAAGAATTCAATATGCTCATCAATTTACAAACCTATGCCTCAGTTTTAAAAACTCAGAAAAGATCTACTTCTCTGAGCCTTGCAGTTATGAGATGTAATTTTTGCTTTATAATTATTAGCCATTTTCTGAAATTCTTGAGCTACAAAGGAATCTCTAGGATGTGATACATGGGGAATAGTGTTATCCTGGTAAAAGCAATGTCAAACCATATTAGGAAATAAGTAAGTTAAAAACAGAACATCAACAACAGTGTTTTCCATTTGTGGGTTTCAGTGCTGTAATTCACTGCAGGCAGCAAACCACATGTAGAATTGCAGTACTCTCCAACACACTGCCTGCAAGAGCAGGTGTCAGCCTGTCCCATTGAAATTGCTACATCAGGACTCTGGAGAGCAGCAGCAGTCTTGCTGACATCAACTCATTTGCCAGATTTGGGGACAAAATGCTGAATCTAATCTGAGCTAATACTCATGGAAGTGTTGCCACAGGCCATTTCAGATCTTTATATGTGCTGTAGAACTTGAGTTTTGATCAGCAGCTTCAGTCAGGATCTAGAATTTTTTAAATTGCTCAGGCATGTAGTTAAATACCTGATTATACTTACCTGGAATATTTAATAATGTACTTAATGTTGGGGTTTTTTAATGCAGTTTCTTATGATGGTCTATAAATGCACAAAAACCGCTTAGCATGAAGATACGCACAGTGGCAAAACAAAGGAATAAATGCAGATTTCAAAGATTTTTCTTTAAGTTAGTAAAACAATCATGTGAGATGGGGCAAGTATTATTTAATACTAATATAAAAATGCTATTTTCCAATTAAATAATTGTTTGAAAGATTACTTTCAAAACACGGCACTGAGGGTGGTTGTATTTTTTGTGTTTTCTGAGGTT